AAATCCACACAAGACTATCAGACATCCGCCCCGACAATCAAAACTGTCCAACAAGACAAACAATACAAACTTGTCTTTGACAGGCGATTGATCGTTTTGACATATTTCAATTATTCCCCTATGGTTATAAAAATGCTTTGAGCCAACATGAATAAAATTCAATCATGAAAAACATTGGATGTAGACTTTCAACCAAATGTGGATGTGCAAGTTTACTTCTGTAAATTCTATGATAAAGAACAAACCCCAAGCGCACCTACTGATTAGTCATACCTAGTAAAGACGCTGTAACGTTCAGGATCAACTTTGATAAAACAGCTGAACCAAGTGAAGAAACATTGAAGTCTGGACAGAAAAGCCGCGGTATAATAACACCATTATCACCAAATATTACATTCTAAGTCAGAAAAAATCCCTTTCTGTGAACCCAATTGCTTGTAACAACGTTGAAGAGCGACTGAATCCCTTTGTGAGACAGTGGAAAAGGTGTTGTTAATCAGTATGACATGTAGTACCAAGAAAAAACCATTAAGAAAATCGACAAATCGATCAAGAAACTGAGGAATGAATACAAACTTATGAAAGAGGAATATGAAAAGGAGATCACTATGTTTAAAATCAAACTTTTAGGACGAGAACATTACATTAATGAGATGTTGTTACACTTATAATGTTCTTAAGATCCATGGAATAAAGCTCTATATTGCAGTTGTAAAAGTATATGTAGTTTTGAAGATTAAAATCTTTAAAAGTATAATCTGTTCATGTTGTCCTTCAGCAGCATAATTAAAAATATAAAATTGTTCCAGTGACGCCTTAAACTGCTCTACAGCTGTACATTTTACTTTTTAGACAGCAGTTTAAAGCCTCATTAGAACAGTTTTATATTTTCAAAAGTGAGTTTTATTTTAAAAAAGAAAAAACTTTTATAAGTACGTTTATTTTTTGGAAATAAGATAAAATGTTTTATTTTACAAAGCTCAATTGCGAGAGCTTTTGACTCATCCAATGGTTGTAGGTTCTAGTTCTACTTTTTTACTCTCCTTATGACCTATATTCAGCGGTAATCTTTGTTTTCTCCCAGCTTTTCTTCTTTTGGTTTTCTTCCTCTTCGGGGAAAGTTTGAACGTCACTATCTGTATTCAATACGGATTTTTTCAGTGTTTTAGTAGTCATAATCTGACGAGATTCTGACAAATACCACATCAAGCCAGTGCTCAGGCGCCTCAGTGGTTTTAAGGATGGCGTAAATATGGAATGTAAAAGTCCGGACCTCTGACTAGTCTATTTTTACCACATAAACAAAATACTATCATCGGACTGGCTCTCCTCCATACCAAGCCCTATTACTACTAACAGTTTAGGCCTTAAGGGTACTAGTAGTAAAGGGGTTTACTCTGGTCAGTAGCCAGTCAGAGCAGTATTATGCACCACGTGACACGTTTAAACCAATCAGAATCGAGAAATGGACACATTTCAAACTTGAAAAAACGTCGTATACCGTGGGACACATTTTGACTAATCAGGATCTAGCAGTCACGCAGATGTAGATTACGTCATAGTATCAGAGATGATTTCATGCAGAATCTTGTTGCTTCGTGTGCTTGTCGGAGCATAGGCTATTGAAAACCACATTGTGTTGCCATTAGCTACCACAGAACTTGCCTGAAGAGTTTTTCACCAAACGTATGATGGAGAAGGATTCCACTTGTCTGTATTTTTTTTTTTAAACAATTTTATCTACAAGACCATCACTCACACTACTTACAGTATTAATTACACTTTCACTTGTCTGTGTTGTAGACGTGTTGTACCACCACATTTTATTCTGAACTCTTTTCATTTATTTCCGATCGATGAAGTAGAGCGTTAAAATGACAGAAAGACGTCGCTCGAGTGTGGGATGAGTCCACAGGCATGTGGGATGACTACGAGTTTGAAGAGACTCTGCAGATGTTTACCAGCCAACGTTTTGTATTTTCGTGATCCTCAGGATCGATTTTTTTATCTCCTTTACTTATCCGTTTACCAGACAAGAGATCGCTGTATATTTGGCATCTACCAAACTGATGGCAGTACGAGTTTTGCGAGTTTTGCTATAAACCAAGTAGCTATGTATTAAGCGAGGTTTTGGGCGCTCTCTTTCTCTTCTTCTCGATAAGCGCAATGGAATGATGAGTTTTGAGTCAAACTCTTGGCCAACTTAGTTCTCTTTGCAGAGATTACATAGATTGTAAGAAAAATTGATTGAGCAATAAACCTAGTGCACAGATCATCCTAAGAGATAACTCTTTTCACCATCTGTAACATCTGATAAAAGTTCCGGACTGTCACATAGTATGAATCTCGTGTCTCAATATATGTACCATCTATTATCAAAAACATGAATAATTTTGAAACCTTGATCTATGGAAAATTGAACAACCTATTATGTGTCACCTTGAAGATGGTCCCTCTTGTAATTTAAATGTCTGAAAGCCAAAAGTAATCTAGCATATTTGACCATGAACTACAGGGGCTCCACTATGAAATCTTGTCTTTGCGCGGTTAACGGAGAATAGTGACGAAGTTAGGTAGCTGCTTTTTCTAGACTAAAGTTAAATTCTTGATATTCTTGGAAAGAAGATATTTGCCTTTCGAAATATTGGTGTTGACAACGTTATTAAATGTGTTGAATCATGGGTAATGAGTTTGAGAACATTCTTCTACTTCAATCGGTTTCATGACACGCTATTTTTCATTTACACATCCACAGCTCTCGTGGCTTCTTATTTCACGTAATCCTCTCTGGCTTTGTTACATTTTTTTTCACTTCTCTTTTTAATTCTTCCTGACCTTACTCGAGTTTTCTTATTTTTATGCTAGTTCGCGTATCGTTCAGAGATAGTTCTTGCGGTGTCTTGGTTAGGCTTAGTTTTTGCAGTTTCTTGGTGATCTCATCAATTTGTTGTTACCGACTAATGATGATGATGATAAAAGTGTTTTTTTCACATACAGGTTTGTAAACAACAACAAAAAACAGGTCTTATATTTACTTCATACAATTTCTTGATCGAAACAACTATGAAACAAGTTTAAGCAAGTTTAAAATAGGTTTAAGACAAGGGACTACAAAGTTCATTTGAAAACAAAATCAAACTCGTTTGTCTGCTCACGTCATTTTTAAGGTATGTAAGAAAGACACGATTTCATGTACTGGTCACGTGATCCTGATACGGGAGAGAAGATCTTCGTTTATTATAGATTTTTAAAAGATTCTGTCATGGTTTTAGACGACAGCAACGAAGAAGAAGATATGGCAGAGATATTACCTGTTTCCAAATCTATTGTCAAGAGGGCCAGGAAACGGAATAGGACGACACCTGTGACTCCTCTTCTAACGACGGCGACGTCATCATCACCTTCTGTACCACCACCTAGAGTGAAGAAACAACAAGAAGAACAAGAAGAAGTGGATAATCTTTTGAAGGAAGTGGGGTTTGAACCGACTGCCCTGTGACTTTTCAGTCCACGTATTTGCCTTTGGAAGAAGGATACAAGGAGGCATTGAAAGAAGAGAGGGCGAATCAATTGCCGTGTTGCATTCACGAAGTGCAAACTCTGAAAAAAGGAACCTTTTGAATAGCAAGAAAACATTGAAACGGTGGTGAGAAAGCAGCAAGTTTCGAAGTCTAAACGAAAGATGAGTAAGCTGAGTTCCAGTCAAATATCATGAGGTTTGGGATGTAATTTCGACACCAAATAAATAGTTTTACATGGCTATACACTGGGAGGATTCTGTTGTGTTCACGTGAAGACCATTTCTGCCATTTCTGCCACTTGCAACTTGTAGGAAATAAAAATATGCATGCTTATGTCATATTGAAGCCCCGTAAGATCACAAATACGATTTATTTCCTTTTTTGTTTTAGGTGGTCATTATCCATTATTTTTGGAAGTCGATGTTGATGAGAAAGAAAAAATGTTTTTGAGTAGTAGACAAGCTGGCTGTCCTAATTAAAAGCATTAGAGACCAAACCTCTTCCTGAAAAACAGTGTAAAAAGTGTGAAGTCAGCGGAAGGTACTTCATTGTAAGCAGCCAAATCGCAGGCCGCCAGCCCACTTTGAGTGAGCAGTAAAACTCCAGATTGGCTATTTTAACTAGTTTTGTTGAGAATTAAACTCTACAAGGATTATATTCTGTTTTAGTATGAAATGTAACGTTTATGTTTCTTCTTTTGGAGTAAGTTGGCTTGTTATGGCCATTTTTCTCTCCAGCATTTTTTTCAGCCAGTCAAAATGTTTTTTAGAAGTAAGCAAGCTAGGTATAGTAATGAGAGGTAGAGGTCGAACCCTGTCCAGACTAGAAGTTTAACAAGTGTGAAGTAAGCTGCAGATATTTTGTTGTAGATGGCCAAATCCCCGGCTGCCGGCACATTTTTTTTTGGGCTATTTGTTATTTAGCTACTAAGTAATCTTATCATTAAGGATTACTGCATTCCTTTCTTATAATCTGCCACTGATTGTATGCTGTATATAGCTTGTGATCTGTGTGATTTTCACAAGCAGATTATATATACACGCCTATAGCCCGAACACAGGTATATCCACAGTTTTCCTCTGTTCAGCTCCACGTCGAGCCCTTCTCCTTTCGTAATCCTGGACTCTCTTAGAATTGTATACGTCACAGACTACCCTTGTGAGTCTCTTCCATTCGGCTCTGTTGTTCACGGTTGAAGGCCGCTGACATGACCGCACTTCAAAGCACTTTTGCAGGTGTCCTTGAACCGAAGCTTGGGTCGGCCTATAGGGCGAGAATCATGAGCCAACTCACAGTATAAGAGCTGCTCTACCGGCCTATGATCGTTCATTCGAAAAACGTGTCCTAACCAACGCAGACGGGTCCTTACTAACATCACCTCCATGTCTTCAACGTCAGTGCGTCGCAACACCTCTTCATTGCTGATGTAATAGTCCCATTTCATGTTTAAAATGAGACGTAGATGACGCTGTTGTATTGTACGGAGCTGTATGATTTCATGTTGATATAGAGTCCAAGTTTCACTTCCATACATCAGAAGGGGTATTAGACATTGGTTGTACACAGCGACTTTAGTTGAAGCTGTTAGATCATGCGAGTCGAAAACTCTCTTTCACAGTCGACCAAAAGCACATGACATTGCTTGAATACGAGATGCAAGTTCCTCCTTCATAGAGCAGTCGCTGCTGACATAGCTGCCGAGGTACTTGAAGCGAGTGACGCTAGCTAACTTGGTGCCGTCTACGAAGAAATCAGCTGTGTTACCATACACATAGTCTCTGTTTTGACCGTGTTGATGCACAGGCCCATTTTCTTAGTGACGTCATTATGGGAGGTCAAAAGCGATTGCAGACCCTCTGGCGTGTCGCTGAAAATAGCAATGTCATCAGCATACTGAGCTTCTCTGATGAACTCTGTTAGGGCTTTGGTTTTTGCTTTAAGCCTGCGTAGGTCAAAAAGATCTCCATCGTAAGGTAACCTGATCTGTACACTGCAAGTGTGTTTGATTTTCTTTGAAGGCAAGCCATAGTAAGACTGCTGTATAGATGCCAAAGAGTGTTGGAGCTAGTTTGCACCCCTGATTAACCCCACTATTGTATTCAAGGGATTGGGTCAGTTCACCATCATCTAGAAGTCTGCCGTGTACATCTGTATATAGCTTCTTGATGATTCTTATAAATTCTGACGGACAGCCAAGTTTGCGAAGGATGATGAAAAGAAGCTCGCGATTGACAGTGTCGAACGCCTTGACAAAATCCATGAGGGCTATATAAAGCATCTACATTGCTCTCTTGTTTTTTCCATCAGCTGGCGAAGCGTGAAAATTCCGTCTATCGTACTTCTTCCGTTACGGTACTCTGACTGCGGCTGGGGATACATGGATTCCATTAGCAGGTGTAGCCTCTGCAAAATGACGTCCGCCAATACTTTTCCAACAGCACTAAGTAGCGATATGCCTCTGGAATTACCGCAGTGACTTCTGTCACCTTTTTTGCACATTATGGCGATGTTCGTATCTATCCAGTCCAATGGGATTATCTCTGTAACCAAGCAGATGTTGAAAAGGACAAGCAGGAAAGCTCTCAAACGACGTCCACCATTCACAAGTATTCCAGGAAGAATGCCATCAGGGCTTGGGCTCTTCTCCTAGCCTAAGAGCTTAATCAAGTTTTTGCTCTTCAATTGGGCGGCTCATTGATTCAATGACTGGAAGCTGGTCTATGCCATCGGCAATGGTCAAGTCAGCATCAGTTGGTTGGTTTAGTAAGTCGCTGAAATGTTCAACCTAACTGTCTTTTATCATGTCAGGGGCAGTCAGGAGCTCGCCATTTCTGGACTTCACTGGATGAGAGGTTCTGGATCTTGGACCATAAACAGCGTTTAGAGTGCCATAGAAGTCTCTGTGGTTCTTCTCCTGAGAGTACCGCTCTGCTTCTTCAGCTCTATGTCGGAACCAACTGTTTTTCAGCTCTCTAATGCGCCTTCTCAAAACATGCCTGTCCATGTTCTCATCTTGGAGAAGTTTTTTAATTGCATGAACCACTCATTTTGCACTCTTTTCTTCTTGCCAATGGGCAGCAGCGTTCTGGAGAACAGCTCTGAGCTCGTCAACGTCAGTGTTACAGGTGGACAGCCTCTCATCTAGAAACTGTTCTAGCAGTACTTTCTTGTCGTCATCCAAACGTGTATCGGGTTTTTTGGGGGGTCTTGTACCTCTCTTCTTGTTCTTGATGGAGAAGAGACACTTAGAGATAGGGAGCTTGTGATCAATGAAACAGTTTGCTGCACGATTGACGTTTGTCAGTGTAACATATGACTGTGCAGCCATGTTGGATAGTACATGGTCGAGCTGATGCCAGTGTTTTGAACGAAGGTGCTGCCATGTGTTCTTTAAGCTGTGTCTCAGTTGGAACATCGTGCCCATGAAACTGAGCTGGAATCTGGTGCAAAATTCTAAGAGTATAAGACCGTTGGAATTCATCTTTCCAACACCATGCTTCCCGATGACATTCGGCCATGATTTCCAGTCCGAACCCACACAAGCGTTAAAGTCACCTCAAATGATAACGCTGTCCATTTTGGCAGCTGATACACATTCATAGAACTGTTCGTTTTCTTCCTGCGGTCTTTGTATGGCTGGTGGATAAACGCTGATGAATGTTAGATTGTCGCCACCTTTAAGCTGTATGCGCATTGACATGAGTCTGTCGCTGATTGGTGTAGGGCTAATACCTTGAGCAGCTAGCCAGTTGGAGACAGCAAAACCAATGCCCGCTGTTCTCTCTTCTCCTCCACTCCAGAAAATTGTATGACTCCTTTCGCCTATGTTTCTTGTGCCAGGTCGTCGAACCTCACATAGAGCACAGATGTCGATGCTTGCTTTCTCTAATTCACGACAGATGAGGGCAGTTGCTCGCTCCGGTCTTATTGAAGAGTCACTGTCGTTGGTCGTACGAACATTCCAAGCTCCTAGGTTAAGACGTTGTTTGTTTCGGGCATTGGAATTAGAGGGTAGATGGTGTCGTTCGTCGGCGATGGCCGATGGCTCATAAGGAGCTCATCTGCCATTTAGTGGGTGTTGTTTTTAGTCCTGCAAGGGCGACATGCCACCCTCCTCACCAGAGAACAGCTGGTGAGGAAAGCCAGCTTAGACGCCGACCACCCGTCCATGTGGTAGGTTGTACTGGGTTACATGGTACCAGTAGCAGACACGATGTCTGACCTGACGAGAAACACCTGAAGATGTAATGATGCACTAGATGATGTGCTTGATGCGAAGCAATCCTGGTACAAAGTGTATGCCTTTTCTGTAGGTGATTTTCACATGCTAATAAGACTTGTAGCTCAAACAATATACATCAGTTGGAATAGGAATATTCAAAGAAAAATAATAATATTTAACTATACAAAGCTTTGGTTTTATATCCAAATTAAGTACTTAATTGAGAATCACTGCTCTGATCAGGCCCAAAAGGCCGAAACAGTACTGTCTGTTGGTAGTTTAATTTTTGTCATTTCTATTGATCTATTGGATCAATATCAGTATCTGGGCAACTGCCCACCTACCCCTCCACTAGCCCAACAACAGTCAATTGATAACAAGCTAGGGTTAATGTTGGGTTAGGGGAGAGGTAGGTGGGCAGTTGCCCAGATATTGATATTGATCCGATCTATTTTATTTATCGTTGTTTCACTGAGTTATAATTCATTCATCTCTTTCAATAGTGTCGGTTTGCACATGTAAGCTAGTCTCACACGTATGTATGTATGTATGTATGTATTAGCCCAGTGGAAATGTTTTTGAGTGGAAGGTAAGCTCGCGATAGTGATAGCCAGCAGAAACTGAACTTCATCCTGAATAGAAGTCTGACAAGTGTGAAGTAAGCGGCAGATATTTCGTTGCAGGCGGCCAAATTGTCGGCTGCAGCACATTTTGACTGAGCTGATTGTGTGTAGTACGTATGTGTACTTCTTTTTTGGCGTTAAACTGGTCAGAGTACGAAGAAATCCTCCGTGATAACCTGGTAATCTGAGGTGTACACACTTTTAATGATAAGGTAAAGCTTGATCATTGTTTAGAGTTTGCATCTGTTCTAAAAGCTTTGGGAGAAAGAAACTGGCAAATACTGCCAAACCTACCTTCTATTAAACTCTATGTACCGTAACCTTCACATAATTGCGTGTGCACACTTGAAAGTACTAACCCTAACCCTAATTCTAACACGGAACCCCGCTAACCCTGAGCAACCCTAACTCTATCCTAAACCCTGATTTTAGCCCTATGCCTTAGCTTAGGATTGGGTTTAGGGTTTGGGTCAGGTTTAAGTTAGCATAGAGTTAGAACAGGCATAGGACGAAATAACATGATTCCGTAATTCAGAAAAATTAAACTCTATTTTTCCGTTTTGTTTCCGTGCAACGGAAACGCGTTATTCAGTTCTTCCTCGGACCTTTCATGTGTCCGTTATGATTCCAGAACAGAAATATGACGAATGTTTCCGTTGCATTTCGGTCAAAGGACTATTATCGTCGCCTGTTTCCGTCACGTTTTCTTGTACGGATTCAAACTTTTATCGTCAAGTAAAACATATATATAAAATGCTGTACAATTCTTACACCACGTTATCATGAGGTCTTGATCGTTAGAGGACGACAAAGGCGAATTGACGTCCATTAGGTGTGTGCGCTCGTAATAACTATATGAAGCCTTAGAAGCTTCGGTGTTTCCACTGAGCTATGTGCATGTTAGTTTTGGAACTCTTTCGAAAACTTGCAAAATTTAATTCTAAACTTACTCTGTGCTCAGATTTTTAAGCAGCTGGATCATTTGAGAAATACTTAGCTAACTGAATAGTTTAGGGTTAGGGTTAGGGTTAGGGTTAGGGTTAGGGCAGAAGTCCATTACCTGGTTAGAGTTAGGGTTTAGGGTTACGATTTCAGCCCCTCGAAAAATATTATCGATAAGATCCAGTCACTTTTGTCACTTAAATAACCACTTGAGGAGTTTAAACCAGCTGGATCGTTCTTGCCGGTTGGATCAATTTTGATTGGTTCAATCATTTTTACTGGCTGGACCATCTAAACTAGTAGGATCAAATTGTCAATGGGCAGTGGGAGTGTCTTTACTGGTTGGATCATTTTGACTGGTTGAACCATCTACACTGGTGGGACCATTTTATCTAGCTGGACCGTTTTCAGCGTTTGGACCATTTGATCTGGTTAGACCATTTTAGGCAATCTTAGCTAGTTGGACCATTTTAGCTATGTAGAAAAGTTCTATTAGTTGGACCATCGTATCAACTTAAACCATTTTCGCCAGTTAGACCATTTTATCAATGAAGACCATTTTCACCATGTTAGAACATCTCGGAAACCTAAGCCATTTAAGCAGTTGAACCATTTTGTCTAATGAATGGTTTGGACAATATTATCTAGTTCCCCATTTTAACCGGTTGGACCATTTTAACTGGTTGGATGATTTTAACTGGTTGGATGATTTTAACTGGTTGGATGATTTTAACTGGTTGGATCGTTTGAACTTGGACCATTTTATCTAGTACTGGTTGGATCATGATAACCAGTTGAAACATTTTAATCAGTTGGATCATTCCAGTTGTACCATTTCAACCTGCTGGATCACTTTAACTGGTTAGATCACTCTCACCAGTTGGATGATTTTAACTGGCCGGCTGGACCATTTCAGCGGTTGCATCATTTAAGCAGGTAAATCAGTTTAACTGGTTGGATCACTTTAACCAGTCGAACCATTTTAATGGTTGGACCATTTTAACCAATTGGATCATTTTGACTGGCTGAACCATTTCAGCGGTTGCATCATTTTAACCAGATAAGTCAATTTAACTGGTTGGATCATTTTGACTGGGGAATTCCTTTTCGCTGGTTGGATGATTTTAACTGATTGGATCCATATAACTGGTTGGACCAGTTTAACTAGTTTGGATCATTATGATTAGAGGGACAATTTTCGCTGCTTGAATCACTTTTCAAGTTTAATCATTTTCAGTGGTTTCACTGGCTAGTTTCGATGGTTGGACCAGCGGCTGGACCATTTTATTCAGTAAGACCATTCCTACCAGTTTGACTATTTTATGTAGTAAGACCATTTTCACTGCTTACACCTGTTTTATCTAATTAGACCATTTCAACTGGTTCGACCATTTAAACCAGTTTGTCCATTTCAGATAGTGAAATATATAGATAGTGAGCGAGATCCTTTTAACAAGTTGGATCATGTTAACCAGTTGCACCATTTTACCAAGTGAGATCGTTTCTTCCAGTTGGAGTAGGTCATGACATTAAAATCTTTTCACCGTTTAGACCATTTTATCTAGTTTAACTGGTTAGACAGTTTTAACCAGTTGCATCATTTTGACAGGAGTGCTAATTTCTATTCTTAACCCTGATCCCAACCCTAACCCTAGCCCTAACCCTAACCCTAACCCATTTTACCACTTTACTTTGGGTTGAAGCTAGGTTTTAGTGCTTTCCCACAGATTCTAGCCCTATTTTCCTGATGAAATTATGTTTTTGTCTTAAGCTCATTTTTGCAAAAAGTTTTTCACCTGAAGTGAGCGTTTTTGTCAACTTGGACGTGATATTTTATAAAAATCGTGCATTTCTGCCGTATGTTAGTGTTTTTGACAAATTTCGTTGCGATCTTATGAAAAACATGTAGTTTCAGCTAGTGTGTAGCGTTTTGGCAGTTATCTTGGCGAAAAATAGGTAAATCGCGCAATTTAAAGTTCTTTGTCGGTTTTTATGTGTTTTTTTGTCTAGATTTCACTGAGAACACTGTGTTTTTGCTGGATTCCAGTGTTGTTGCACGGATTCTATCGTTTTTTTGCTGAAAACATCACGTTAAAGCTTCCTTGCAGCGTTTTTGGCCTAGAATGAGCTAGTTTTTGCAAAAAAACAAAAACGTGTTTTCGGCCTAAGTTGACATCAAGGAGACACAACAACATTTGCCTATTCTAAGTACCTCGCAGGCTAAGGTATTGTACAAATCTCATGACATCTGGCCCAGTCTCATCAGTCAATTTTTCAAGATTCAAGCTCTTCTTGCAATTATGTACTTGTTCTTGAAGCTGACAATTAACAAGGTTCCTGCAAATTAAGTCTAGACGACAAACTAACAGTTTGTGAAAATCACACAAACCCTAACTACATCCAGGGTTTTGCTCTCAATAAAATCAACTTTTTAAGCAAATTGGGATTTTACCCTAGTGCTTGTTTTTTTTTGTAACTTTTTAAAGAAATAATGCTCCCCTGACTCTTCCCAAAGCTTTTAGAACAGATGCAAACTCCAAAGAATGATCAAGCTTTACCTTATCATTAAAAACTTTTACATCTTGGATTACTAAGTTATCACAGAGGATTTCTTGGTACTTTGACCTGTGTAACACCTAAAAAGAAGTGCACATACATGCTACACACAATCAGCCGAGTCAAAACGTGCCATACAATCAGTGGCAAATTATTAGAAAGAAATGCATTAATCTTTAGTCATAGGATTACTTAGTAGCTAAATAACAAATAGCCCAGTTAAAATGTGCCAGTAGCTGGGGATTTGGCCAGCTACAACAAAATACCGGCAACTTACTTCACACTTGTTAGACTTCTAATTAGGACAAGGTTTGGCCTCTACCTTCTATTACCATAGCCAGCTTGCCTACTTCTCAAAGACATTTTGACTGGGCTGAAAAAAAATGTTCGAGAGAAAAATGGCCATAACAAGCCAACTTACTGCAAAATAAGAAACATAAAAGTCACACCTCAGACTAAAACAGAATATAAGCCTTGAAAGGTTTGGTTCTCAATAAAACTAGTTAAAATAGCCAATCTGGAGTTTTACTGCTCATTCAAAATGGGCTGGTGGCCTGCGATTTGGCCGCCTACAATGAAGTATCTTCCGCTGACTTCACACTTTTCAGACTGCTTTTCTGGAAGAGGTTTGGCCTC